TAAAAATAATTCCAACAGGATAGAATCCAGGTAGAACTCAATGTCCAGGACAGAGTAAGAATATAATGAAAAGGCTTAAACACTAATATATATATATATATATATATATATATATATATATATATATATAAATGAGAGAAAGAACAGATGAAGTAAAATTCCTCTGTTCGTAGCATTTACTTTTAAAAATAGGTATCAATACAAAGTAGAGCAATATATTATTATTATTATTATTATTATTTTAGATATTAGGACAAAAACAGGTTGAAATCGCTACAGAATAGCTTTCATGTTTCGGCACTACGTTGTACCTCTTCAGGCGGCGGTAAGTGACTGGTGATTAAATGATTTTTGAAATTTCAAAAGCAAAGTGTTATCCTCGTTTCCGAAAAGGGAGTGAATAAGAAAACACAAGGTTAGAATTAATTCAGATTTGAGGGTTGTTTTTGATCAACCAATTAAATGTCAGATCTACGCTAAATAGAAAATTATGTTAAGAGTGGGGAGGTGGGGGAATTATTGTTTTCATGACATGATAAACCGGAACTTAGACAGGCCGTCATTCACAATAAATTTGTTGCTTACCTGTTTTCTGTAAATGTCAATGCATCTCATCAGGCGATTGTAAATTACTGGCGAGTCCAGTAATTTACAATCGCCTAGTCAATCCCTATTGCAGGCACCAGATGAGGCACATTTATATTTTCTCAACACCCACAGAGCCTACCGGTGGTTGATACTGCAACTATGTTGAGCAGACTAGTTACAGTTTCTGGGAGAGAGCGTGTATTCTAGCGTGATCAACAGTTTGAACAAGGCAAGCACGTTCAAACCCTTGGCCACGATGACTTGTGTCTTTGTGCTAGCACAACTATCGACGGCCCTCAAGAGTTCCGTCTACCCAGTTTCACTCACAAGGCTTGGGTCAAGCCGTGGTATGTTTTTCAGGCACTTTCCAATCAGATCCATGCCGATAACGATAACATAAATCTCCTTCCTGGCAAATGGTCACATTCGGACCCGGGCCTCATATACATGGTATTATATATATATATATATATATATATATATATATATATATATATATATATATACACAACCATGTAAGCATTAGTTTAGTGACTACCCATATTTGAGTGGATACCCATATTAGAGTAGACGCTTTGTTTATTTATGAAACAGAAGTTTTATTTATTTCCACCTTAACAGTATATTTATTTTCGTTTGCCGACCTGAATATTAGAGAAATCATATAAAGAAAAGTATGCGCTCGCCAATATGTTTATCTTTACTAAGGTTTCTCGAATATTCAGGTCGACAGATGAAAATATACTGCTTAATAAATAAAGGAGACGTCTACTCAACGTTTAAGTGATAAAATCGGTCAGATAAAATCTGTCAGATAAAAATTCATTACTTCTTTATATATATATATATATATATATATATATATATATATATATATATTGATGCATGTTTCATTAAATAATATAGGCAAGTGTTGTTTATTTATTTTATTCTTTCATTGATAAGCTTTCGGCTTATGCGTTTCCATTATCAAAAGGTTTCATTAAATATATTAAGCAATAGACAAATCAGTGATGATAGTCTGTTTCTGTTTACATGGAAGATTTCAAGTTTATAAGACGCTGGAAGCGAAATCGCACCGCAACTTTATTTTTTCTTCATTGGTCCGAAATTCTTTATCTTTAGTTTATCATAGATGTCCTGTTTGATGCTGTTAAAACATTATTAAATTCAAGTGTTGATAGTTTGTGGGCTGCTGGATCATGTAATTTAAATTGAAAAATGATAATTTAAAAATTCATGAAGACCTAACCCTATTGATACATCATTTTTGCAAAAAAAATTTTTTAAACATCCTATCTAAGAAATTGCTACAAAAAAATATAGGAAAAAAAACGATGTAATAAATTTTTATCATAAAATATATATATCATTCTTAAGAAACACCAAAGTGATTATTTTAAAAATTTTTTTATTTTCTTATCAAAATTTTATTTAAAAAATTTAAGCAATCATCAAAATTACTTAAAAAAAAAGTACATCAATTTTTTTTTCTAATTTTGTAAACAAGAATATTTTTTGTATAATTATACCAAAATCAATTCTACGTTTCAAAATTTATTTGACTAAAATTAGCAAATTTAAAGATTAGTTAAAATATTTTGAAAGAAGCTTTTACTTACTTTTTTCGAATAAAAAATTGTTCGAAATAAAAAAGTAAGCGATCTGAACTGTGTTGTCATTTCTCAGTACAAGATACCTGTCATCACATATCGACAGCTAAAATTCGCGTTATCATACAGATGGTCATACGTGACGTAACGTTTTTTGTTTTTTGTCGTCACACCCCGTAATTAGTAGATAATAAAAAACAAAAATTAGCATTCAATTTCCTTTTTTTTGTTATTTTACTGGAACTTAAGACATAACTTTGTTGATACTTATCTATTGTTCGAGGATGCATTTCTATAATAAGTTCCTTTGATATTACAAAAAGTTTTCACTTTAGTTTAAAATAGAGAAATTAGAAATAGAATGTTTGGAAGATTCTAGATCATTCCAGTATATATTCGAGAAAAATCTAGGAATATGCAAATTAGGTGTTAGCCCCTATAAAAATGGGATTTTGGAAAAGGTTGTCAATGCTGTCCAGTATCAACTCCGGCTTTTGATTCAAGGACTATTTATCCAGCCGAAAAGAATTCTATAAAAAGTTGCCGACCAACCAAAACCCAAAAGAAAACCCACATGGAACAAAGTTGGTAAATAGAATTTTGACTAATTTTCATTGACCAAACTAAAATTATTTTATTTCAAAATATAGTGATTGATAAAGTGATAAAAGATTTTGATTCCTTTTCCTTCTTCCTCGTAACACTCCGTAACTCTTTGTTTTCTGTTTTGTGCTGTATATGTTTTGTTCTGTTTTAGTTTAAATATTTGTTTGTGATTTAGCTCTGTTTTGGTAAATCATTTTTTTTTCCTTTGTTACAATTATCAACACGTAACACTAGAGATAATTAATACTATAAATAATTTAAAAATTCAAACCACGTTTGTTCCGTAAGAAATGACAAACCATTTAAGCGTGAATTTTTATCAAAACATAATTAAATTTTTTCATTAGTGGGGATCATCGGATGGGTCCAAATTATACAATTTTCAAATCCCTAGACAATGACGAGCTAAGAAAGAGAATAACAATGTTGATGGTGCTGTTATTTATTTTTATAATTTTTTTGGATTTAATGAAAAAGTGTTAAAATTTCGATTTAAAATTAAAGAAATGAAATAATTGTATTAAAAATTCAATTTTCATTGAAAAATTTTTTTGCTTTTCAGAAAATATTGTCCATATTCATACGAACAAATAAAAACAAATAAAAGCGTTTGAGATTAAATAGTATATTTGTTTTATTGAGTTTTTTGTTACTTTTTTAAATTCAAAGCTGATTTTCAAACAATTGGTTAATTAAAAAACAAAAAAAAAACATGATTTACATTCTTCAAAGCCTTGTGCTTTAAATATTGTAATCACTAAAACCGATGGTATGGAATTTTTTCTGTTTTGGCAAAATTAGATATGGGGTGTTAATAAAAATAAAAAAAAATATTTCAAAACTTTAATAAAAAAAACATATTTTAATAATTTCAAATCTGTGAATATTTTCTGAAAGTTTCATTAAATCTGACAATTATTTTTTATTTTTTAAAGATTTTCCAAATTATATAGGTATAAATACCAAAAAAACGCGCTAAAAATTATCTATGTTTTTAGTATCCTTTTGCAAAAAAAGATAAACAAGGTTTTTAAATCAACATTTAGAATATTCTAAAAAGATGGAAAATTTTGAAAATAATTAAAAAAAATTTGGTTATCCTCTTCATAAAAACATAAAAATATTTTGTTTTCGTTTTTTGGCGTCTTTTTCATCGAACTATGGAGGTACCTAGCTAAAAATAATAGAAGTTTTATTAATGAAAATAAAAAAACATGGACACAATATCTTGACCGTGTTTTGAAAATGTAAACATTATATAAATACATACATACAACAATCTATTTCTTGTTAATAGTTAATATATCTGAACCTTGAAAATGACTAAATGTATAGCCGAAAGCGCTTGGAAAGAAAGAACAATTCGACAATTTTTATATAATTTATCACCTGAAAAGAAAAAAAAAAGATCACATGAGAAACTGTATAAAATAAAACTAAATCAAAACAGCTTGTCTGGCGTATTTAATGAAACGTGCATGAAAGAAGGACTGCTGCCTAAATACACACATTTTAAATCTGTATTCGACTCTCCCGTCGTATTCGACGTATGAGGGTCAAACAGATCAGTTCCGAGGAACCGACAGCCCGACAACAGCACATGAGATCTGATTATAGTTGTGAAGGTTTTTTGCAAAGCCAACCACACTTTTTGAAGGGCCGAATACTACGTGCCACGAGGTCCACAAACGACCCCCAGTAGGTTTTGAATTCAGAGTTGTCCTTCTCCTAGACTAGTTGCCATCCAAGGCTATAGAACCCAGTCTGTCCTGCTATTTACCCATTGCTGGAGGGAGAAGAAGAGGATTCATACCTATAAGTATAATTCATAAGGTATTAGCACGTAAGTGAATGTAATGGATTCGACTGGAATTCGAACTCGGCTCTCCGATTCCTCAATCCGAGCCGCTATCCATTATTCCACCGTGCAAGCAATAAATGCATAAATAAATAAATAAATAGTGTATATACACATATTCATATAGGAGAAAGTAAGTTTATTTGTCTGTCTATTGAACTGTGTGCGTCCGCGGGTTTTATCGGCGCCTTGAAACATGAACCAGCTATTTTCCCGCCACAATATATCTTCATTCCTTTTAAGCAAGAAATGCAATCAGTAACATCTTTCGTCTTCTTTATATTCCTGTTTTCCACGCCGTCGAAAATTTCCTTATCTTTCTAAGTAGCAGATATATGGACTTAATTACGACGGAGTCCAATGGCAAAATCCAACACCAGCAGAATTTTTTTTTTCCCGCCTACACCTTAGCCATCTCAACTTCTCCATTAATCCTGCTGTCGCGTAGACCTTCCTCCCGTATTCAGCTCCTGCTACCCACTACAGCCATCCGATTTATAACCCAAACAAAATACGCCTACCTCCCTACCCTTAACAGCACTTCCACACTAACCCTTACTAACGTCATTTTTTTTTGGTGGGGGGCAACAATGCCACAGTTTAGTTACAACCACTTGATAATAGTTCGTAAAGAAACATTTGAGGAGGTGCTGATAAATTTCTAAAAAATTACCTGCGTTTTCATTATTGCAACCAACTCCAGAAATAAATAAACTCCGACTACATTTTCAGATTCATCAGAGAGGCAGTCACAGAAAAACATAACGAAAATACAATTATCTAAATGCATTATTTACTTCATTCGGGCTATTATCCTCATCTTCATTGCCATATTCACAACGTTTCCGCTCCGGCCTTTTTCAGTTGATTGGAATTTCGAACCGAGCCCTTCATTGCATCCACCGGGGTAGATTGTTCTAGTTCCACGTGCCATGCCTCTTGCGGATGTCTCAGTTGTTTCCCTTTAACTCAACTCTCCAAGTGTTTTTGGCTTACCACTACTGTGGCCTGGTAGTGAGCTCAGGACTCTTTGGGTCTAGTCACTGGATCTAGCCAACGTCTTTATCCACTGGGCCATGTATACACGACAAATGGAATAAAGTTACTTCCCTTGTACTGAAAAAAAAAACATTAGCAGTAAAAACGAACAGTTGAAATGTTTTGAAATTACAAAAACACATATACATACTCAAAGACAACTTAACCCAATGAAAGATAGTCTCAGATGACATTGAAAGTACTTGGGAAAATAAAAAATAAAAAACTATTTGAAAGAAAATGTTGGTATTTTTCTTAATCATTTTTCTAAGGCTACCAAGAAAATAATCCGGGAACTTGAAAGGATCACAACCAAAATAAATCGACATGTTACGTCTAATGTAGTTAACCAAACCTGTTTGAATTAAAATATGCTGCCTAAATATACGCAATTTAAACACCATGGTCCAGCAGCTCATGACAGCACCAACAATTTGAAATTCAAACCTAACGTTGTGAGAAGGCAATTTGAGGTAGTTGAAGACAAAATAAAAAATTCTCAATAAAAAAAGCACAAGATATCCACGGCTAAATACAATCGATCACTACTCCTGAAGAACTCAAAGAAATTCTATATAGACATACAGAAATTGCTAATCAGTCTGAAACACAACACCAGTTGAACCTTCTTAACTCTTAATGGACTGTACAAAGGAACTATACATCCTCCAAATAATAATGACAAGTTTATAAATATCACCAACTAAAAACTACAAACCATCAAAAAGAATTACTCAACCTCGGACCCAACTGTCAACTCTAGAAGACTGAAAAAAAAAAGAAAAAAAAAAACTTAAATAGAAATGCTGTACCAAAACACACAAACATTTGAGGAGCAGCAACTGATAAATACAAAACCAGAAATCCGGTAACTACTTAAGACTGAGGTGTTGAAAGATAGGCATGATGGAGGGGAAAATGACCACAAAAATAACATACACGTACGATGCGATGGTATCACTATGGGTTCCATCCTTGGACCAACGTTTAGCAATCTTTACATGACTAATATATATATATATATATATATATATATATATATATATATATATATATATATATTGTATGTATTTAGGCAGCATTTTTTCATTGATGCGTGTTCCATTGAATAATACAGACAAGTGTTGTCTATTTATTTTATGTGAATTCTTTTCATATCGTCTGATAAGCTTAATAACATTATCATTAAACGAAGAAAGAAAATCACAATATTGATACATATTTTTTAATCCAATCTAAGCTTTCGCCTTACATAAGCCATTAGGAAAGATGACAATTACATAATTCGTTGGAGATACAATCTTTCAAAGGGCACTTGAATTTATAAACTATGTTGTTTTTTTGCAAATCGCTAACCGGGGTAGAAGAATCATTGCGAAGAATTAAGTTGGATATACTAGATTTAGTGTAGTATATGATTAATTTAATTTTTTTGCTAGGATCTATTTTACATTAGTATTTACTATTTTTTTTAGTATATTTTCATCTTGTTTATAGTATGCATTTGATTACGATATAGGAGATTAATATGTTTGAGTAGAAGCATTATTATGTACTATTTGCTTGGTATTGAGATATCTAAGAAAGCATAATAGTAGTTTCCGTAATATATTAGGATTAATTTTAAGTGGGGGTAAAGATGAGTTACTGTATATATTTCTTATAATTATGTCAATAGTTTCACTAACAGGGACATTGGTAAATAAGTTTTCAACATCAAGTGAAGTTATGATTTCATTGTCGGGTTTTTCACTTTTTAGGATTTGGATTGCTTCTAATGTTGACTTAACACTATATTTACTTGAAAGGTAGGGAGTAATGAGTTGGTTAATGTATTTTGTTATATATATATATATATATATATATATATATACATCAGGTGAAACAGCAAAATTGTTCGTTTGTTAGATTAAGCTCTGAACCGTTTATCTTAGAAATGATTAAAGATATCTTGCTGAAGTTCTTTGTTGTTTTTATAACACTATTATACTCAACTTTGAGCAATAATAATGTATAATTACTCTCCAAGCTTAACAGAAGAATCGTGATGAAATCGATCATAAACGTAAATGACATGTTTATCATTAATTAATCATAGCGAACGAGTGAAAGCTCATGAAAGATTGAAATAAAGTCCAAAATGTATATATTATTCCATAATCAACTTATTCAAGATGATCTTCGCCTTCTCTAAACTTCTACTTTTCTATTCAAGTGTAACAATGTGGTTCACACGTTCACGTACGGTTTCATTTTTTTCACCACTCTTTTAACTGTCATAACTGAAACTCCGCTCTCATGTGCCAAACTGCTTATGTATTGAGTTGGCATCTGTCAATATTTCTGAGATGAAATATTATGTATGCTACTTACATTATTCGGACTATTGTCCTCATCTTTGTCGCTATATTGATTACAACGCTTCGGCCGTTGTACGCTCCGGCCTTCATCAGGTGGTTAGAATGTCGAACTGAACCCTTTATTTCACTCTCTGGGGTAGACTGTGCCATGCTTAATCGATTTCAGTTATCAGTTATTTCCTGTTAATTGTCCTCTCCAAATTCTCTACTACCTTAACCGGGTATTGAACTCCCACTCTTTGGGTCCTGTCACTATATATATATATATATATATATATATATATATATATGTGTGTGTGTGTGTGTGTGTGTTTGTGTGTGTGTGCTGAGAATTTATAGGCGCGACCTATTTTCCAAGTGAACAATTTTTTTTTGAATATCTACTTGGTTACGCAGTGAAATGTTCAGAGGCACTTTTGTATAAACTTATTTCGATGTTTATCAATAATATACTTATCGTTACAATCGACAAATCATCGTCTTGTCTCCTGAATTACGAACTTGTTTATTCGATCCTTTTTATTCTTTATTGAATACTTTTTTTCTATTTAGAACCACGACCGAGACGTGACTTCCCGCTTTCTTTTCTATAAATATTTTCATGTCTTGGCCCGCCGTCCACATGAATTGAAGTGCACTACTAGATTGCCTATTAGGTCTCATCATTGTAATATTGAAATAGCTCTATAGAACCTTAAATTCTATTCTGACAGTTTTTTTTCTCGAATTTCTCGTTTGTGTTATTTTCTTCCATTTTCATTATTTTCAGCCACCTACAATCTTCAAAATGTTAAATGCAAAAGCATCGCCATCTTCTGATACTTGTTATTGTATTGTCCTCACAAAAGTCTTCAAATTCTCTTTCACTCACAGTAATCCCCTTGTATCTTAGGGGCATTATCGCCTTACTTGTGGTGAAATGATTAAAAAAAACATCGGTTTCCATTTATACATAGGGATGTGTTTTGTGGGGATGATTCCCTTTTATTTTGTTTATTACCTTTTTTTTAATTTTTTTATTTTCTTCGACTATATGATGTCTTATCTTTTATGCGTGTTTATTTTGGCTACAATTATTCATCTGTCGGCATTTTGAATTTCTACATCAATCATTATATATCTTGCTTACGTCTCGAGTAGACCTCCTAAGATGTGCAGACAGAGCCCCTAATGATCAGAGACATTTCTAAGATACAGGAGGTTGGTAGAATTTCTTCGTATATAGGTCTATTTTTATCCCAGGTCATTCTATCTATCTATCTATCTATCTATCTATCTATCTATCTATCTATCCCAGTTTATTCATGTCTGTCTATCTCAGTGTCTATCTCAGTGTGTTTATATCTACCTTTGTATTTCAGTCAACCGATATCTATCTATCTATCCCAGTTGGTTCATGCTAATCTATCTCACAGTGATATCGGTCTGTCAATCTCAATCCCTTCTTATCTCTGTCTGTTTATATCATCATACTTATCTGTCTGTTTGCCTAAAGCAATCTATCTATCTATCTATCTATCTATCTATCTATCTATCTATCTATCTATCTATCTATCTCAGTCTGATTGTTTCTATCTATCTATCTATTTATCTATCTATCTATCTATCTATCTATCTATCTATCTATCTCAGTCTGTTCATATATACTGAGCTACATCAGTCTATAGATATCTATTTTATTTATTAATGTATATATGTATGCATCTATCTATCTATCTATCTATCTATCTATCTATCTATCTCTCTCTCTCTCTCTCTCTCTATATATATATATATATATATATATATATATATATATATATATAGCTTTTCAACTGAATTGAGCTCTCCGAGCCACTGACGTATTTCGTATAGAAAAGGTTAAAATTTCCCTTTCTCTCTGACGTGCGACGTTAGTTTAGGGGTAGATCTCTGACTAAGGCCAAATCGGTCGGGTTTCGATCCCGGCTTGAAGCGATCGGACGTCTAGCCACACTGAAGAGCTGTGATACAGCGAAACAGTCTGTATGTGGTTGGCAATATATATATATATATATATATATATATATATATATATATATATATATATATATATAAATTGCTCCCAGTCTCTATATGATTCTGTTTATATCTATCTAATCATATCTATCTCAGCTTTTAATATTCTTATCAAAAGTAATTTATTCAAATATACATTTTCAGCATCGTTTTTTCATGAAGTGTCCTCTTTATTATCAACCCTCAAGACTATTACCATCTGTTTATTTAACTCTTTTACATACTTCGCTAAATCGTCCCCATCATTTTTTTTTCCTTACAGATGTCGAACTACTCGCCAATTTCTCCTTCAGTTAACAAACTGTCCATGTACCCCCACCCATACAAGCTCGAATCAGGCACAAGGGATCCTAGCCAATTCCTGAAGATGGATCTCTTTCGAAAACTTTCAGTTGGTCTGTCGTTACCTTTTCGACTATTTGTCGTGATGTCATCATCTCCACCAATCCCATCACAAGCAACAATACCATTGAAACCATTTCTAATGTAAGTGCCATTCGTTTCAAATCCTGTCTTCAAAGGTATCAATAGTTTAGAGTTGAGTTTTCTAGATGAAACCGTAAGTTGCATGCTAACAGTTACTTTCGTCACACCTTTCATTTGTGCAACTCTCTTCCGGTTGCAGCCATCTTTAATCTTCCACAATTTAAGCGCAATGTCAATCACTTTCTACTGTCCTCCTGGTTACTCTTCTTTTGTCCTTGCTCCTTAGTAAAGTTTCTCATCTCTAATTCTACTAGACACAGTTAAAAGTATAGAGTTGAAGTAGATTTTAGAAGGAACCGGAAACCCAATCCTAAACAGGAGATAAGGGGTAAATCCTGTTCGAAAGACCGGGGGAGGAATGAAAACTGGATCATAGGCGAACCTATCTACTCCTATTTAATAAATAGATACTGAATAAAATTTCAGTTTTTAGGCGGAGAGTTAGAAGTGAAGAGTTGAAGAAGACTTTAAAAGGAACCGGAAGCCAAATCCTAAACAGGAAATAAAGGGTAAATCGCTAAAACACGTAGTAAATCAAATTACTGAGCTTAGGCAGAGACGTTAAAAGTATAAAGATGAAGAAGGAACCAGAAACCCAATCCTAAAAATGAAACAAAGGATAAACCTCTACTCCGGCTCAAAATATCGAGGAGAATTGTAAACCAGGCGATAAACAAACATACCTACTCCTGTTGGGGAAAAATAAATAAATAGTTAATAAAACTTACGTGAAGATATTAGAAATATAGAATAGAAGTAGAATTTAGAAGGAACCAGAAACCCAGTTCAGACAGGAAACAAGGGATAAATCCCTACTGCTGTTCAGAGAGGAGTGTAAAGCCGACGATAGGCGAAAGTATCTACTCCTATTGTGGAAAAAATAGTAAATAAAATTTCAGTGTTTAGGCAGAGACTTTAGAAGTTAGAGTTAAAGTAGACTTTAAAAAGGAACTGGAAACCCAGTCCTGAACAAGAAACAATTGATAAATCTCTACTCTGATTCAAAAGAACGGAGAGGAGTGCGAATCTATCTGCTCAACTGCTATGTAATATCAACCCTCTTTTATAGCAGTAAATGATGGAAAATTTCATCCCAAACGAAGAGGAAACTTGAAGCAACAGTAAGAACTTGGCTGAATCACAGAGAGATATGTATATATGTATTACAAAATTATGTGTCTGTGTGTGCGTTTAAAATGCTGTGAGTAAAGTCATAGGTTTGTTTTGACAGGTGAAATTTGCTGGACTCTACTGGCGGCTTGTGAAAAAGTCGCCTCTTTTAAAGCTACAGATAGGCTCCCAGCGAAACCGCGGGAAAAGTTGATTTTGCACTAAAATGTGTGATTGGTTAAAATTTGACCAATCGCTAAATTTGTACTAACGAAACAAGCAAGCAAGTTCAAAACCGAAACATTCAAAGCAACGACTGCGATGGATAAATTGTCCTATAGAAAGGCAGTATTGATTTATTAGCCAATCGCAGACGAATAAAAGGTGGGCGTGGAAAAACATAGCAGTCGCTACAAGTTGAAGTAGACTTTAAAAGGAACCGGAAGCCAAATTCTAAACAGGAAATAAGGGATAAATCTCTAAAAACACGTAGTAAACCAAATTTCGGAGCTTAGGCAGAGACGTTAAAAGTACAGAGATGAAGAAGGAACCAGAAACCCAATTCTAAAAACGAAACATTTCTTAAAAGTAATAGGAATATCCAGATAAAATTGTTACTAATAGCAATGCGAATGTAAATGAAACAAGTAAAACATGATGAAAGGATTAGTAGTAAACATTATAATAGTTGACAATGCTTTATTTCATACTAATATTACTACTTATGGAAATAAATAACAAAAATTAAGTTGAAATAAATACTATTCAATTATTTAATAAACCTTCACGATAATAGTATTATTACTAATGTAATTCAAGCAACTAATATTGAATGGAAAATGCCAGCAAAAATTAATAATGGATGACAATACTTCGTCAAATCAAAATTCAATATAATATTACTCTTCTTCGTTGTTCTAAACGATAGGAAACCGACTGCAAATCATTTTTCCATTCCCAGCCGATAATATTTTGTCAATATTTCCATGAAAATATTGCTGAGAAACCTGAAATTATGAAATAAGCTTCCTTTCTTGAATGCTTATATTAAAAAAAAGTCTCATAATCTGTTGATAATTACGCCTTTTTATTTCCTTTTATTGAAATCAAGTAATTTCCCGAATACAGGAAAAAGGAACAAATAGATTATGAAAATCTTTTTTTTGTTTTCATTTTTAAAGAGCTACAACTTTTAACAGTTGTTGAGTTACTCGCATCGTTAAGGCGAACGTTATCAGTAATAAAATAAGTAATCATTTTACCATTTCCATCGTTACCATGACGACCATCGGATCAATCTATGAAGCGACCAATTATTCAATCAGATTACGTATTAATCTGTCTCTCTCAGTGATCTTGCTGACTTTTTATTACTCGTTTACAATCAAATTTGTTATCAGGAAATCATTGGAAAATCCATTTAAAAAGGTATTTATTATCTTCTCTTTTCTTCCTCTTTTCTATTGGCTAATATCTATGTCACTCTCTTCATATCTACCAATCACGATCTAGGCATATCTGTTCATCTGTCGGGAGCCTCGCTGTCGAATAATGTTTCCCGAGCCAGTCTACTCGACCATTACTAATATGTGAATAGGATCCAAGCTGGTTGACTCCCATTTGAAATCTTTTACCAAACTCAGCTGAGCTATATAAATATTCAAAGCCCCTACGTTTTGTTCAGTTAAACATTTCCTATTGCAACCAAAATGAAAGCTACAAACAGAACTTCCTGTTCGTTAAATTTTATCTTTATCTTACATGTGTGTATAGCTGTGAAATAAATCTTTTAAAAAATAAGTAAAGATAATTAGGCTTTCTTCCTCTTTCGTACACTGAGATAACTACATTCTTCAGGTGATACACGTTGGAATTTCGAACCGAACCCTTTATTTCGTTCACCAGGGATAGATTGTTCTAGTTCCACGTACCATGCCTTTTCTGGATATCTTAGTGTCAGTTATTTCCCTTTAGTAACTCAACCCTCCAAGTTTTGTTCACCTTTGCTGTAGCCAGGTATCAAACTCACAACTCTTTGGGGCAAATAACTTTTGGATTACTTCAGCTAATGATTTTATCCACTGGGCTATGTCAGAAAAGGCATGGCACGTGGAACTAGAACTATCTATCTCTATGGACGAAATAAAGGGTTGGCTCGAAATTACAACGTATATCATCTGAAAAAGGCCGAAGCGTACAACAGCCAAAACACTATGAATATGACAATAAAGATGAGGATAACAGTCCGAACAATGTAAGTAGTGTAAATAATGACAATACCTTAGCTCAGAAATATAGACAGATCCTGAAGAAGGTCGGAGCGTACAACGGCCGAAATGTCGTGAATATGACAATAAAAGATGAGAAGAACAGTCTGGACAATGTAAATAATGTAAATAATTACAATACTCTGTTTTTTTTTTTTTTTTATTTATATAAGTTTATTCATATCTGTCGATGTCAGTTTGATTTGATTTGTTTTGTTTTACGGTATATCAACACCTCAATGGGTAATTTAATGCCGACAAGATTTTTATTGCTGGTAATAAATTTTTTCAAAAGAGTATTGTTGGTATTAAAATGTATTTTTATACTTTCATAGTGTTTTGACCCCTTTTGGACGGTTAATTATTTTCCCATAGCGGGGACCCTGACAGGTGTTATCCCTCCGGGTCAGGGTGGACCTGGTAACACCAGCAATTAAGAGGTGGTTTCACACTCCTCAAAACCTCCTGATCAGAGGCCTTGCTGCTGGATGTAGTTTATCATCAAACCCAGGACAAGTCGATGTCAATATATTCCTGTATCTAAACTTGACAGCATAGAGATGCCCTCAAAGTAATTGTCCAGTGTATTACTTATGACGATAAAAAGGAATTTGGATTAACCTTTAAAAAAGAAATTAATGGCCACAATATGTGAATTAAGGTAAAATGCCACAACTGCGATGAGAGAAAAAATGAGGCTAAAATGTCTAAATAATAATAAAAATAAAAAGGCTAATTTTTAAACCGTAAAAATATCAGATAATTATGAGATTCTGTTGAACTTTTGACAAATGGGGTCCCAAATTTATTTGATTTCTTCCTCTGTACGTGTACAAGAACAGATGCGAAGAAGTGGCCCTTAATCAATAGAACCTTTTCAATCAAATGCTAAAAAAATCCACTAACAGAAAACAGCGTTCCTGTTTTCTCACCAGAAGTCAGGCTTCCGATGACGAGGCGTGATGTTGAGGTCTAGGACGATGATATAATTATTCATAGCCTGGATAAAAATGAACTTGAACAAAAAAATTAAAATTATTTACCAAGTGTTCCAAGAAGTATGGCTTACGGTAAACATTTCCCAATCAGAAATTGTCATCTGGAATTGGAATGAAAACAATGATGGCAGTTATTTTATTTATCAGTTCATGCCAAATAAAGGTCAATAAAGGTACTAAGACGAAAGAAATTAAAAAAAAGAAAAAAAGAAAAATATTATTATTAGATATAGTAAAAACAATAAAAGAACAAGAATTAAGAAGATAGAAGATAACGATTGACAAAAGCAAATATATTATCAAGATGTCGCCTACCTGACAAATTGACTTGATCTTATGGTCCGACTCCTAACATTTTAAACGTACCGGTCTCACCCCAGTATTGTAGGCCAATTATTAAATAGGCAAATCGCACAAAGCAGCAATGTCTTCTGTGACGTGTCCCTTCAGGACGTGAGTGATCTTGTCTCCCGACAAATCCTTGTCCGTTGTAGCGCTAGCCATGCTGGTCTTCTTACTACCTCACCTCGTGTATCAATTAGCGATTTACCCAGTCTTCTTCGACAAGATATTCGACCCACTACTTTATTACTCTTTCCTTCAGTCCTGTCATGCGTGTGTCAAATTTACCAAGGCCTCCTTCCTTGTTGTGTACCCGAGAAATCTCAACTCTCTTTCTGAATCAAGTTATGTTTCCTTTTTATTTTCATGGCATTCTCAGCATCCTTCTTTCAGAAGTAGAAATATGGCTCCTTCTTTCAGAAATCTGCTTCCTTCTTTCCCTAAATGTGGTTCATTCTTTCAGAAATCTGCTTCCTTCTTTCAGAAATCTGGGTTCTTCTTTCCCGAAATGTGGTTCATTCTTTCAGAAATGTGCTTCCTTCTTTCAGAAATCTGGGTTCTTCTTTCAGAAATCTGCTTCCTTCTTTCCCGAAATGTGGTTCATTCTTTCAGAAAAAGAAAAGCTTCCTTCTTTTAAAATATGGATGTTCTTCTTTCAGAAAATGGATAAAGGATCCTTTTTTCCAAATGGCGAAATGTGGTTCATTCAATTTCTGAGGATAAAATGTATCCTTGTTTTGGCAGAAATCTGGGTTCTTCTTTCACTGAAATCTGCTCCTTTATTTCGATAAGTGACGGAAAACAGTGGTGAACTAAAGGGCTTTGGATAGATCTGAAAAATTAAAAGCCGCACTTTCCACTGAAATTTCGTTCATTCTTTCCTGAAATAAAATTCCTTCTTTCAGAAATCTGGGAACTTTTCAGAAATCTTCTTTTTCCGACGTTTGGCCGTTTTAAAAAGAACCCATTCGGTTCATTCTTTCAGAAACGGACGAAGTCCTTCTTTCCCGAAAGGTGGTTCCATTCTTTTGCAGAAAAATGATAACTTCTTTAAGAGGAAGAAATCTAGAAAAGATAATTTTTTTTAGTTAATCAAGATATTTTTTTTTTTTCTGAAATGTGGTTCATTCGTCCAGAAATCTAATACATCATTGGTTTTAGTGGTGAATGACGGAAGGATCTTCTTTCAGAAATAGGTATGAAAAGCTCCCGAAATGTGGTTCATTCTTTCAGAAATGTGCTTCCTTCTTTCAGAAATCTGGGTTCTTCTTGGAAAAATCTGCTTCCTTCTTTCCCGAAATGTGGTTCATTCTTTTCAGAAATCTGCTTCCCCACCCCGGTTTTTTCAGAAAGCGGCAGCGAGTTCTTCTTTGAGTTGAAATGTGGTTTCATTCTTTCCAGTTGAAATGTGCTTCCTTCTTTCAGAAATCTCCGGACTCTTCTTCAATCCAAGAAAATTGCTTCCTTCTTTCCAGACCTTCAAAAATAAGTTTTTTTTTTTCATTTTTTCAGAAACACACCGAAAAAACCAATTTTTTAAAGAAAACAACTGGGTTAAAACTTCCTTCGGAAAACAACGTTCCTTCCATCGCGTCGAAATAGACGTGTCCTCATTCGAACAACTCATAAATCTTTGTTCCTTTTTTTAGAAATATCTTGAACTTTTGAGTTTTCATTTCCTTTTTTTTATGCAATTTGTGGTTCATTCCTTTGATGTGGTTCATTCTTTCACCCGATGTGCTTCCTTCTTTCAACTATCTTGATCTCTTCTTTCCTAAAATCTGCTTCACAACGTTCCCGAAATGGATCAGATTCATTCTTTCAGGCGTTGGATAGTTGGGAAAACTTCAAATCTTCCCCCACCTGAAATGGTTAGAACATTCATTTTTCAGAAATCTGGTCGTCCTTTTACGACTGAAATCTGGGTTCGTCTTTCAGAAATCCGGAACGGAGCAGCGAAATGAACAGCATTCTTTCAGTAATTTGTCTCTTTGGTTCCGTGGTAAATGTCGTTCAGTCTTTGGCGAAATCTGCGTCCCCATTCTTTCAGAAATCTGGGTTCTTCTTTCTCGAAATGTGGTTCATTCTTTCAGAAATCCACTTCCTTCTTTCCCGAAATCTGGTTCATTCTTTCTCGAAATGTGGTTCATTCTTTCAGAAATCTGGGTTCTTCTTTCAGAAATCTGGGTTCTTCTTTCCCGAAATGTGGTTCATTCTTTCAGAAATGTGCTTCCTTCTTTCAGAAGCTGGTTCCTTTTCAGAAGCACATTTTTGTTGCCTCCATTTTTCTCTTCATCTGAGAGGAAATTATCCAGAATTCACTACCATATAAGTGGATTGATATTACATAACATTTCACCAATGACAAGATAATATCAAGAATTTTAAGTAATGAATTCGATTTGATTCGGCTGTGTCTTTTCCCCCTCTTAAAAAAGAAAACCAAATAATAATAATAATAATACAGTGGAACCTCGGTTCACGAATTTAATATGTCCCTGAAGCCCGTTCGTAACCCGAAATGTTCGTAAACCGAAACTATTTTTCTAATAGGAATCAATGTAAAATGGATTAATCAGTTTCTGGTCCTAAGATGTCTATTTAAACATTTAAAACAGTATTTTGTGCACAGGTTTATACACAAAACAAAATGATTATATCGAAGAAATGAATAAATAAACCTAATACTAAATAGATAAAATATAGACGAATACTTTAATTTTATCTTACCTGCATGTAGGAGGGGTGATGGTGTAAGTGGAAGGGAAAGGAAAGAGATGGTGGTATTGTTTGGAAAGATGAAGGAAAGACATGATCGTCTCTTTATTTATAAGAATAGTATAGATCGTTGATTTTGACATTTGAAACTGAGTAGGAAGAGACAATATCATCAACAATTTTTTTTTTTCTTAACTTTTCTTTTTTCTTTACCAGTATCACTGCTAGCTTTCTTTGGAGCCATGACTAAGGACTAATGAAGAGAATAAAAAAATGCACAGTACAATAAAATTAGGAAAGGAAACACACGAATGTATACAACACGGCGGTCAATTAAGAAATGATTCCGTTCGGGTAAACTCGAGTAAACTCGGTTCGGCAAAGTTGTTCGAGAACTGAAATTTTGTTCGATAAACGAGACATTTTCATTTCAAATATTCTGTTTGAAAACCAATTTGTTCGATATGTGAGACGTTCGAGAGCCTAATTGTCTGAGTGTTTGCGTGTATGTCACGCACGTTAGGCTTAATTTGTTGAAGCAAAACCTGTTTACTATGTAATGTGAATTTAATCCCGCCCCGGATAATGGATTCATATTTTCCGACCGTTATGCCATTGATCATGGTGATATTAGCAGTTTCCTTATAAAGAAACATTTGACATTCATTGACTGAGCAGCCAGTGCTGCTGTCTGTTGAAATTTATAAAATATTTCTCTTCAAACAATTATTTTGAAAAATAGGTTTTTCAAGTCAGCTGTTATCGCTCTTTCCAGGGGATTTCCTTACTAACCTTTTTTTAAGAAGTGCAGATGGACAGAATATATATTATCAAGAAGAAAGATTTAAAGGAAATGCGGACGAAAAGGACATATTTGATTAGGATCAGAAATAAATTGTAGAAATTTCATGACAGATGATGAGGAAAGAGGGCTTGGATAATTTGATACACACAAGATATACTGAATTCAAGAGAAAGATCAAACGAGCTAGTGTAAATGGATTGCAGAGAAAATATTGGGAAAGATAGTAAGCGAGCAAACATTGCTTAGAGCGACATTGGATAGGAAGTTGTGGAGGGACATGACTGCCTGCGTCCTGAAGAGATGCGGCGCATGAAGGAAATTCAATCTAAGAAGTGAGCCTTTGTTGATATATATATATATATATATATATATATATATATATATATATATATATATATATCCTAATCATTTCATCCTAGACAAAGCAGTAAAATCACAAAACACAAGGGGTTACTGGGTGTGATAGATGAAGAAATGAGAAACTCTACTAAGTATCAAGAACAAGTGAAGAATAATCAAGACAGTAGAAAGAGATTGACATTGCGTTTACATTGTGGAAAATTAAAGTTGGCTGGAGTCGGAAAAGAGTTCCACAATCGAGAAGTGCGAGAGAAGAAACTGTTAGCATAGAACTTACGGTTACATCTAGCAAACTCAACTCTAAATTGGTAAGACCTCGACGCCAATCCAGTACTTTTTTTTAAGCGTTTCACCCCAAGCAAGGCGGGAAGCCACTAGCACGCAAGGGGTTACAAAGATTTGGAGCGAGAGCAAAGACGAGTAATGTAGGAAAGAATGAAGAGAAGGTTAGGCGATAGATCATGGCATCTGGAGATGCCGATTGACATTACAATTGAATAGTTGGAAATTATAGGAAACAGGAAAAGGGGAGGGAGTTCCACAGGCGAGAGGGTCGAGACATGAAGCTGTTGGAGTAGAAGAGACGGCTACATTTAACAGTTTCGACAGTGAAAGGATGAGAGCGAGATGCCAGCCTAGTTGAACGCTTAAATTAATGAAGTCTGGGAACCAGCGAAAGCAGCTCATCGGAGCAATTACCGTGAAAGTATTTGTATAAAAAGACTGCGCTTAAATTAAAAGAAAAATGTCGAGATACCATAGCGAAGAGCAATATTTATTTTCGCTTCAATACAGAAAATGTGGCAGAAAACGAAAGTGGGGAATGGGGAAAAGGACGGTCTTCATCTGTCTTAACATTAAAAATTCCCTAGCCGCAAACACTGACCCAAACATATCCCACAATTCCTAACACCAAAACAACGCATGCTTACTTACCATTCTAACATCATTCACCATAATACCACATGGTCTCTATCAAATTCCCAACTAGTCCCCATATGTACAATTCATTGTTTTTCGGGGTGGGGGGGATAAAACAACAGTTTATAAACTAGCACCAGTGAGTATTTACAATATGTAAACTATTTACAAGAAATCAAAAGCAAGGCACTGTGGATAAAGGCGTTAGTGACAGGACCCAAAGAGTGTGGGTTCAATACCCGGTTAAGTCAGTGGAGAACTTGGAGAGGGGAATTAACAGGAGATAACTGATAACTGACATCCATTAGACATGGCACGTGGAACTAGAAGAGCAAAATAAACGGTTCAGTTCGACATTCTAACCGCCTGAAGAAGGCCGGAGCGTACAACGGCCGAGACGTTGTGATAAATATGGTAACAAAGATGAGGATGACAGTTCGAACAATGGAAATAGTGCAAATAAAATAATGTTAGTAATAAAAAAAACACACAATCCTTAAATATGGCTGAAATATCAATTAACTGGACGAAATCAATGCAGGACTTTAATAATAAAAAACATTCTTTCATCACAAACACACACTCATCCAGACACAACAACAAATACGAAAAACAAACCCGAAACGAAAGACACCCCGCATCCACCAGAGAAATGATATCCCTGACCACCTAACGAGGGAGGGGATGGGGAATTTAACCAAAGAAAAATTGGGGGCAGAAATGGCAGAAAGAGAGAGAGAGAGAGAGAGAGAGAGAGAGGTAAAAAAATTGTTAGAAAGATTCTGTACAAAAGCTTGTTCTATAGACTAAAATGGGAATTGGAAAAAAAGGCACCTAATATTTAATATAGTGATATTTATTTATAAAATGGATTTTTACGGAGAAGTATTAAAATTAAAACTTTGTTACAATTGGATTTTCAGTAATTTTTTTTGTTAGAAAAATAATTTGTTGTTTTCCTTTTCTTTACTTTTTTTTTCTTTTAACCAGTTTCGCATAGCTTTTCAAAATGTTTCTATCTTCACGTGCTGATGCTTATGCTTTAAACAAATGAAAAGTTAAGTCCGTAACTGGCTATATATGTCGTTTATGTTAAGGAGAATTTGGTAGAATCTATTTATGCCATGGATTAATATGGGTTTGAAATATTGATGAAAAATGTTTCATTATTAATCTACCTTTGTTCAGTACTTCTGTAATCGCGCTGGTAGAATTGGAAGACACTAAAATTTGGTAGATTTTGTCCTCTGCATTCGCTATATGTTGGCAATATATATATATATATATATATATATATATATATATATATATATATATATATATATATTATATTTGAATTTGGCCTACCTAGGTTTCACCTAAACGGATCGTTTAGGTGAAACCTAGGTAGGTTTGTCTGGCTCACTAGGTTTATCTAGGTCTGCTCTACGGTTGTATTGAGCTCTTTTGTTAGTTAGTTGTTTACTCGTATCGGGGTTTTTCTTTGGGCTTCAGACCTGCATCTGTGCGATTTTTTTGTCGGCAGAAGTTCATGTTTATAGCTCTTTCTTTTTTTAAAACCTTTTTTCCTCGAGATTGATTTGATTATTAGCAAATCAAAAATTCAAGGGTTTTTCGAAACGAGTCTAGTTATCTATAATTATATATATATATATATATATATATATATATATATATATATATATATATATATACTTGAGTGTGTGTGTGTGTGTCCATTTCTATCTACTATCTATTTCTGTCTGTTCACGTATAGTTTGTATCTCGGTCCACTCTTATCGATTCCTCTATCTTAGGGTGTTTATATTTATTCGTCTTTCTGTCAGTTTCTTTATCTGGCGCTGACATTCTTTTAATATCTATCTAATTCTGTCCATATTTCTTTCATTGGATTGACTGACATTGCTAAAATTCTTTTGGAAGCAATGTTAGAAAGTAACTCTTTATTCTGTCTCGTGTTGGAATACTTGAAAGAATTCGCCCTTTTCGCTACGCTCAAATGTTGCGAGAAGCCAAACAGTGAAGTAAAAGTAAACACAATATGGAAAGCTCTCGTGTGATAAGGACGCAATTCTTAAGCCGCCTCGTATGTAAGACACTTGGATATCACACGTCGCGGTTGATGTCCATGTCCTAATAAAAAAAAAAAGAGAAATTCTCAGGCATGATTCTTCTTTTTTTTGGAAGACAGTAAAACATGACTTCCCATCTCTGGATTGACTGTTATTCACAAGGAACTCACTATTGCGACAAGACACCAAACATGGATTCTCTGAGCCGCGTTTGGTCCAAAACATGTTTCGCAGGAAAAAAAGTATAATCGAAAACCATACCTGAAAACCATACCACGGGTTGACCCAAGCGTCTTGGGTTAGGCGTAAGCCTTGAAGGCCGTCGATAGCTGTGCTAGCACGAAGTCACAAGTCATCGTGGCCGAGGATTTGAGCGTGCTGGCCTGATTCAAATTGTTGATCACGCTAGATAACATGATCTCTCTCAGAAAGTGTAACTATGTTTTGCTCAGGGCAGTGGTCTGTGTGGGTGTTGAACAAACACAAATGCGCCTAAGCGAGCGTCAGCAATAGGGATTGGCTAGCCTCACTAGTAGACGGGTATCATCGAATACAATTGGCCAGCTATATATATATATATATATATATATATATATATATATAAAAACATAGTTTTAATGTATGTCATATATATTTATGCGTTAAAGTGCTCAATACCATGATAGCCTGAAGACTGCGTTTAAGCATGAAACAGACTGTCGCCGCTGGGTATTATCGCCATACACACCGGTCACGTACACACACACACATACATACATATCTATCTATCTATCTATCTATCTATCTATCTATCTATATATATATATATATATATATATATATATATATATATATATATATATATGAAATGACAGTTTCTTCTGCAAAGGGGGACACAGGTTTGAATCCTGCCGGAGGCCGCATCTTTTTTTAATAGCATTTCTCGAATATTCAGGCCGGTAGACCAAAACAAATAAATAATAAATAAAGAAAGCGTCGACTCTAAGATGAGTATTCACTAAAAATATCGTTTAAATATATATATATATATATATATATATATATATATATATATATATATATATATATATATATATATATTTAAATATATTCTATGACTCCTCCTCTCGCTATTTGTATACTTTTTTGGTGCGCCCAAACAATTAAACATATTCCCTATCTTCCCGCGCGTATATGTATATATATATATATATATATATATATATATATATATGTGTGTGTGTGTGTGTGTGTGTGTGTGTGTGTGTTTTTGGTGTATGTTTGTTTAAAGGAACGAGAGATTAAGTTGCAGGGAAGACAGACGTTGATTCCTTATCACCGGTCAGACACTTTCCTTAATAAGCAACTATTAAGCACGCAAAAGGGGCCTAGGGAGAAGCTTTACTCGTTTGTCTGCAAAGAGGGGGGCTTCCCGCTGGTTTAGAAGAGACAAGGGCGAACAGGCCGGTGAAAAGCGATGTCAACCGAATCAGTATTGTCGGTGGTAGCGGAAATGTTATCCGCCTTCCATCTCTAAACAGATGAACGAACCTACTTGAATGAATATGAAGTGATGTCAACAGGTTCGGGTTGAATTTATGGCTGGATCAGATGGGCGTCGGGGTCCGAAAGAAAAATAAAAACGCTTACATCGGACTTCGGTGAATTTAGCGTTTCGCCATAACTAATTTTGTCGTTAGATGGGGGAACGCCCCAATAGTATTGTCACCTATTTTATTATGTTGGCTGATGGCGTTAGAATTTATTTTATTTTTTTTTTTTTGTATAGCTTAAGATAGGTGTCTATCATTGACTTCACTATGCCAAAAAAAAAAAAAAAAAAAATTGCACTTATTAATTGCTGAACGTTTACGGAGACTAAAGAGGGGATGTGAGCACTGTTATGCAATGGGCAATGCGTTTTCAGTAGTGGCAACAGTGGTATTAGTTAAAAAGCTACGTTCCTAGCGGCTCTACACAACTCTCAGCTCATGAACTAGAAAATAACGCGGAAATGCATAGTCAATTGTTTTCAGTTGAAAACTTGATTTAAGTATTCCCATATCAAGGAAATACTTAGAAGAATTATCGATGAGGCGAAAATCTGTATACAGTGGCGGTGACTATGGGGAAACATAGTGTTTCGTTGCTGAAAATTTGCTCTATTCAAGAAAGCTATGGCTCTCCCTGTATCATTGTTTCGATATGAGACATTCTCTGTTTTTGTGTTAGTAATCCGAATGTCTTTTTTACTAACACAAAAACAGAGAATGTCTCATATCGAGAATATTTAACATTAAAAACATAAGGAAAAAATTAATTATTTTTAATAATATGTGGAAATCCTGCTTTTACCTGAAGACGGTCACGAGACCAGAAACCCGTGTAGTAAAATTATGGAAAATAAAGCATAATATTTTTTTCTAAAAAAAACAAAAACGTTTGCGGCATCACTCTTCTCTTCTTTTTAATATATATATAAAACAAAACAAACTTTGTGATCTTGTAGCGCCAGTCCACAAAGTTCGAAGAAGGATTTTCCTCTCTATTACCGAAACGGTTCACTCGCTTAGCCATTGAATTTTTGGTTTGTATTTTCTTAATCCTTTTAACGCCTTTTTATCAAATTTTTTTCGAGATTTTCATATGGATGCCATGCATGTCGCTAAACTCGTTCAAAACAGAAAGACTTTCAAATGTATGAAAAAACAAAACAAAAAAAAAAAAACGCATTCTCAGATCAATGGTTAAATGCGGCTTTCTGCGAATGCTATCTGTAGGACCATATTTCGGTGAACCTCGTGACCTGGCGCTACATAATCACTAAGAACTATACAAAATAACAGAAACCAAACCACTTGAATTTCAACAACAGCAGCAACTGAAATGAATAGCACATGTAACCCGAAGAAAAAATAATAGAATACTCACGATATTGATGTTCCACACAACTTGAAACAAAAGATTAGGAAGGAAACCTTCCCCCCCCCTTAATAATGGTAACAAGGGTAACAGTCACCAAACTAGAGAAACCGTTTTTCCTGAAAACTTGTGCCTTATGGCCACATCATGTCGATGCACCGGTTCCTGTACGATCATCGGAGTTAAGCAACGTCAAGCCTGTCCAGTACCTAGATTGGTGACCACTAGGGATACCAGTGCTGTATGTTTGGATGTGTGGATGGCGTAATGGATAACGCCTTGGAATTGTTAATCGGAGAGCCGTGTTCTAATTCCAGTTGGGTTCGTTATATACACTTACGAGCAAATACCATTGGGAAAGGTATGAATCGACCTCTTCTCCCCATTTATGGATTAATTAGTAAGACTTGTATCACTAAATCATTATCATCTAAAAAAATTACAATCTAAAAATATTTTCTTGCTTTAAATAATCTTCAAAGGGTTGATTAGCCTTAGAAAACGAATCACTCAATGAATGAAATAGTGATTAACTACACAAACATGTCTTTTAGAAAATACTGTAGCCACAGAGTGAGGGATCAGTTTATATGTTAATTGTAATATGGAATGGATCTCCCAATTTATACATTATAAATTCTTGCTTGTTTATCAGATTCTGATTAAGTATGAATCCACATCTTCTCCCCATCTATGGGTTAAATGGTAAGATTTTTATTACTAAAGCATTATTATATCTAAAAAAAAAACAAATTATTACAATCCAAATATATGTTCTGGCTTTAAATAACCTACACAGGGTTGATAAACCGTAGGAAACGAATCAGTCAATCAGTCTGAAAAAAAGTTATAGATAAACAGCATTGGCTGATCAACCAATGAATGCCGAATGTTTCCTTATAAGGAAACGGCTATTATTATTCTTATCATTAGCATTTCTCCCGTTTTTAAATTCAAAGATAAGGATAGATCTTGTTTTCTTATTGCTTGCAGGACCAATATCATTAAAGTCTTGGATGGTTTTAGTTTTTACTATTATTTTTCCATGCTCCAAAATGTCTTCATTGTTATTGTTTCCTCGTTATTATCAATATGTGTTTTCAGTCAGAAGTGACGTATTTTTTCTTATCGACTTCATGTCGTCCTTATCGTCGTCGTCTCTGTTGTCTTTTGTCGTTCAGCAGCTTCGCTTCTAGTTCTGCCGCTATTCAATGTTGATTTGCGTTCCATTTTTCTGTCGAAGATGTTTGCGCGTTGCGTTTCGCCGAAGCCTTATCAAGACATCATATTTTGCCGAAAAACATCTCAGCACATTTGTTTTCTCACACGATCGCTTCCATAAAGCCCCCAAATCAAAAACAAAAACAAAACTTATGTATATAGAGGGAAGACAAGGAGATATGAACCAATTTTATCGGCTACGGAATGTCGATTGCAGCGCAAACGGCTCAAGATAATCTTAAAAACGAAACGGAATAAAGGGAAATAAAACGGATATAGTAAAATCAGAAATAAAGAATTTATCAAATAAAAATAAAATTATTATATAAGTATTTACAGGATTAAATGTACTGGCGTTAAAAAAAAATAAATGTACAGATATTGAAGAAATTGACTAAAAAATATGAAGTCATAAAATGAATTACAGTAGAATCCCTCATATCCGGAATCCCTCATATCCGGAATCCCTCATATCCGGAATCTCTCATATCCGGAATCCCTCATATCCGGAATCCCTCATATGAGGAATCCCTCATATCCGGAATTCCTCATATCCGGATTGCCTCATATCCGGAATCCCGCTTATCCGCATATGATTTTAATGTGTATATTTAAACTGATAAGTAACTGATTTGAAGTTTCTGTTTTTCCGAAAATTTAATAATAAATCATCATTGCTGATGCTTATTTCACCCTAATGGCTTGTATTGGTGCAAAAGATGATGGCAATAAGAGGAAAGTATGACAATGCGACACATCTGCAACAAGACAACGATGAGATGCATGATTGTGATGAAAGCTGGACTGAAACTGAAAAAGCTATTGAAAAGGTTGTCAGTTTTATGGAAAGAAAGCCAGCATTCAGCTATGACGATTGCAATAACACACGCAGAGTTAAAAAGTGTCATTCGTTTAAAAAATTTTCAAAAACAAAAGCAAAACGAAATGCGGAAACAGTTGAGAATGACATTAGAAGAGAAAGAATCATCATTCAACAGCGATTAAAAAATCCTCATTACATTATTTGTTTTGCATACGTGGCAGACTTAATTTAATGAATTTTCATTAATATTTCATAATTTATTTATTTCTCCTTAAAATCAATTCCGTTATATTTCACTCATCATTAGCTTATTTTGTTTACAATAAAACATTGAAAATAAATTTTAAACCTGATTTCAGTTCTTTTATTTTAATCTAAATGTAACCCCTCATATCCGGACTTTGTAACCAATTCCTCATATAAGGAAGGTCTTCTTAGGTTTTCAGGAATTCTACTGCATAAAGAAACATCTGCGATCAGCTTGTTCGTTTTAGTGTCCCTGATATCCGGAATCCCTGATATCCGGAATTCCTCTTATCCGGACTTTGTAACCAATTCTTCATATCCGGAAAGCCGTCTTAGTCCGAGTGTCAGGGATTCTACTGTATTTTGAAAAAAAAAACAAAAAAAAAACAATATAGATAATTTGTCATATATTTAAGTACATATACTTGGGTTCTGATTTGCTCCCAAGTTTTTCATATTTATTTTTTTTTTAAATGTATTTTTTCTAAGCGAAATATAGAGCATAAACCGTTTTGTTTCCCCTTAGGAAACTAGAAAATAATAATTAAGATGAGGCATGTTGACAAATATGCGGACTAAAGAATTAAGCCCTTATAAAACACAAAATATGCGAATAACGAAAAGACGAGGGATAAAAGAGCAGGAATATCATGACAGATCAGGCAAAACCTCCTGTGGCACAGAGGAAAGCCAAAATCAGGTATGGAATAACAAAAAGAAAATTATAAGCGTATATAATAACAGAAGCAGCAGAAAGCACAGAAAGTAACTCAGGTAAAAAAACTGTCAGAAAATACAATAGAGCCAAAGAGAAAATCCTAATTCTTGATTTGATTTTAAATTTTATTCCTAAACGCCCAAAAATAAAGAATAAAATTTGCCAAAATTGAAAATATACTCTTTCAAATGACAGCATTATTTACTTCCCTTTATATAATGGTTACCTCCCTTTGCTCCCAAGGTATACTGTAAGTGCTAAGATTTCCAATTTGAAAGCGGAAAATGCCCTTATTAGAATAACTGAATAATTTAAATTTAAAAGATATAAACAAAATTATCCCCCGTTTATGAAGATCGCAAAAAGAACTAAATGAAAACAAGTAACAAAACCCTTATTTAAAAACTGATTTCGAACCTGAATATGCAAATTAGCTATCAAGCAACTTGGAAATGATGCATGCGTGCTGTCATAAATGTTAAAACCAGACTTAATTTCCATTGCCATATTCACAACGTTTCGGCTGTTGTACGCTCCGGCCTTCTTCAGGTGACTGTAATTTTGAATCGAACCCTTTATTTCGTCCACCGGGGTAGGTTGTTCTAGTTCCACGTGTCATGCCTCTTCCGGATGTCTCAGTTATTTCCCTTTAACTCATCTCCAAGTTTTGGTTCACTACTGCTTTGGCCTAGTATTGAACTCACAACTCTTTGTGTCTAGTCACTGGATCTAATCAACGTCTTTATGAGCACTGGTAAAAAAATTGTGCTGAGACATTAGGTTTATAAGTCCCCCAAAAAATTCGTACACAGGGGTCATCAAGGACGCATATTCCGGTGGATAATCACACACATACAAACACTGTCAGAGAATCAAATCTTTTTTATAATTAATTACTTTCTCGATTTTCAAGTTCACGCACAAATACAAACACAAAAATTACAATACCAACTGGCTGAAAATGGCGGTAAAATATCAGTTTGTCAACTTTTTAATCTTGAACTTGCGTGTGATGTAATGCAGTGTTACCTAACCTATGGCCACTTTAGGAAAATGGGCCATGGCTAATTACAGGTAGGTCACAGAAATTTTATTATTTTTACTTGGTCACCAGACCCATATAGCCTATAGTTTATGGGCCGCCACAAAAAAAAATCTTTTACACTATAATAAGTTCATGGGGTACAGAAAAGTTCTGGGTCCAAAGTGGTCCATGAGCTAAAAAAGGTTGGGAACCTCTGATGTAATGGACAGTTTCTTCGAACGAGTAATCTGAAAATCCTGTTTCTTATATTCACTTTCAAACTTATACTATTAAGAAAAGTATAAATTCATCTTTTCTCGACCAAATATGCGTTAATATGAGTTTATCGTCTTACCGAGGACCCGAATGTAGTCTATCGTCTTACGTAAGAGGTAAATGTAGTTTATCGTCTTACCCAGGGCACGGATGTAGTTTACTGTCTTACCCAGGACGCGGATGTAGTTTATTGTCTTGCCCAGGACGCGGATGTAGTCTATCGTCTTACGTAAGAGGTAGATGTACTTTATCGTCTTACCCAGGACGTGGATTTAGTTTATCGTCGTACCTAGGAAGCGGATGTAGTTTATCGCCATACCCAGGACGGGGATTTCCGGTACCTTCTAAAGTCATCTCAGTCTCTTTCATCCCCAGTAGTGATTTGCGTCTTAGTGACTTTATCGCCTTGCTCGGAATGAATTGATGTTAAAAAAATAAGTCTGTATATAATCCTTGGTAAAGCACATACTATGCAAAAAGATACAAGATCAGGGAGTTCACAATGACTTTAAAATATCCACTGTGTTGGTGTATTATTTCAATGTGATTATTTCTGACTTTTACACGTATTGAAGCGGAAAGCGTATTTAGAAACAATCCCTAACTGAAACTGATAATGGCGGATCGGTTACAAGTGCAGTTAAACTTAAATGTCCGTGTTTTGCCTTAGAGCGAATCTTTTTGTGACGTAATGGTTAATGAGCTGGTCTCTTTCGCTGAATATCAATGTTGAGTCATGAGTAAATTTGTGCTTAGCCTAACTTTCATCAGAAAGGGAAATCATCAAGCCGAATTCAAGACTTTCTTTCTCCGTTGTGTGTTCACATCGCATAAATATCATTGGAAAAGAATCTATCTGCTTGTTTTGACATGCCCCAAGCTAAGGCCTAAATAGCAAAGTAGACGTGGTTGTCTTTGTACGGATGACAGACACGCT